TTGAGTGGGGGATATAAGCAAGAGAAAGCAGTGCGAGCGCACATTTTCTTTCTCTCTTGCTCTTATAGCTAGTAAATGAAATATGTATATGTACATACATGTATATATTGCACACATATACATGTATTAATCATTCAATATAAGCTATGAGGTATAAAACATTAACATCTCAATAATAACACAGTACAGAGCATACTCATCTCGGCAGGCAACACCCGTTCACGAGCATGACGCATGAACCAGCCATCGCTTCGCTCAACCATATTTTAGGGAACGTAACGACCGGCCTCACACAACTCTACTTTCCCAATTACTGTTTACTACCAAAAGAACTCGTTAACTATCAGAAGTCCTGCAATTAATGTTCATGTTGTTCAACGAAGAAAGCTAGTCTTTCCAACCTCTGTTTCACATTAGCTGAACGCACAAACCATGCTTGCCACAAAAAAGAAAAAAAAAACCTCTGTTTCTTGCGTTGGACTATGTACTTAGAACGCGCTTGCGAAGTTTTCTCCGTCGTTAGATACAAAAGAGAATTGGCCAGATGCATCGTCAGGGAGTCCGAATGCCACGCGGTCAAGCGGCACTGTGCAGCCGTACAACTTAGTTGCACCGCACACCCCCAGTTCAGACCTTCACAATAAAGTCACATTAAGAACTTCAACATTTGCCATTCTGTCGACTAGAAGAAATTGCTAGACTGTATTTGGATACCTGATGAGACATTGTAGAATGACGAATGCTTGAACTTGACAATGACTGCATTCAGTACCGACGTGGGTGATTTGACTCCTTTTTTGCAATTACATATGAAAGCGACATTTTTTTTAAGTTTATTAAAATCTATAAATCTCCATGAATATTGAATTAATTATATACTATGCTAACGGTTCCTTAAATAAAACATTTGTATCTCCTGATAAGCTAGTAAAAATAATAGGTACCATTATTTATATTATCTTTATATAATATAATTCTTCTGTGAGTGTGTATGTCACTGAACTTCTCTTAAACGACTGGACCGATTTTGATGAAATTTTTTGTGTGTGTTCAAGGGGATCTGAGAATGGTTTAGATTCACAATTTTGTCCGCTGGACAACCCCTATTTTTTTAGGGCGGTACGAAGTTCGCTGAGTCAGCTAGTTAACATTATAAAAAACAAAACTGTCGAAATCAAAAGACTTACTTATGAACATCAAAAAGTCAAACGACGCTTCATTGTCAATACAATGTCAAGAAATTAAATAATATATTCTTTCGCATTACAGTATTTCGCAAAAATAAGTATCATGCTTTTCTACAAGTTTAAGTTAATAATCTCTTTTAATTCTGTTACTTCACCAATTTCTTCTAGAAAAATAAGCGACATCTGTCGAACACTTTTTGGCTGAATTGTAGAGTTGCGAAAGTCTACAATACTGTTAGAGTCAGAAGCAGGTTTACAGTAAAAAAGCACATAACTTAGCACAAATGGTACCACGCTTTCTAGAATGAGAACCATTATGTATTGCAAAGATTTACGAAAACAATTTGTTTATTTCTATTCAAAATATAATTTACACGTTTAGATATCTTATTTTTTTTGTTCAATAGCATAAATAATGTTATAAATATTTTTTTATTTAAGTTTAAAAATAGAGTACCTACAGAATTTGTTAACAGACTTAATCTAATATTACCAAAATTAACCGTTAAAGAAATGTAGTCTTTTATGTACATTTTTTGCTTTTATTTTATAGCCAGGTAGGCAAGTGACTCTACGCCACCTGCTGTTAAGTTGTGATAAAGTCCATAATGACTAATTATTAATTACCCGACTGATTCTAAAAGTGTTCATATGACCACTGAAGTGAAACTCCTTAAGTTCCAATAATCTGAACATCATAAACTTAACCTGAAAATTTGTAGATAGAAACAAAACCACCAATTCGCGCTGGGTCCGTCATCACCCTGCAATCCGCACTGGGTCCATTATCACCATAGAGGTATAAGAATAGAGTATGAAGGCGACTCTAAATGTGTCCGTCTAGTAAAAAGAGAGAGAAGATGAGAGACCGCTAGCTATCTCTGTCTTGTGACGCATGGCATCCAATGGCATCACATCGAAAGTAAGATGCTTACGATTGTCAATGCGCATGCGCGATTAGAGAGAAAAGCTTGCGGTCTCTCATCTTCTTTCTCTTTCTATTAGAGGGGCATTTCTACTTATAGTAGAGTCTATATCTCCCCTACTCTATTCTTATATCTCTATGGTATTAACCGAACTGATTGAAAATAAGATGTCACGCCTCAAGTGAGGCAATATTTACCGAGACGTATTTTACGCGGTGACTCGTTATCTATAGTATTGTTGATCGAAGGTTTCTGAGCAATAATTTATGAACACGATTTCGCTTAACCAAATGTAAGTAAAATTATATTTCCTAAATAATGATAATCATGGAGGTATTATTATCACCCACCAATCCGCGCTGGGTCCGTTGTCACCCAACAATCAGGGCTGGGACCGTTAACATCCACCAATCCGCGCTGGGTCCGTTATCACCCACTAATCCTTTTTGGGTCCGTTATCAGCAACCAATCCGCACAACGGACGGACCCATAGAGTCTGTGCGGAAAGAGAATGGGCGTGGCGAAAAACGGAACTAACATTAAGATTTTTATTTGGCAATCAAACCCAGCAATCTGTAAAACCTCAAAGTTTTGTATTGTTACAGATTTGTTTGTTGTTGTGATTTCTTGCAGTTTTTTGTATTTAATAATGTCTAAAAGGGGTAAAACCTTACAAATACGGTAGAAAAGCACTACAGCGCCCTCCAATCTAAATCCCATTCTCTTTCCGCACAGACTCTATCACCTACCAAGCACTTGATTCATGTATTTTGTGATGGGTGTTCATTATTTACCGATGAGTCAGCGATGACACTAACCGTAACGCAAAAATCTTAACAAATTCACCAGTTTACCCCCCAAGTCAAGCGTGCCTTAAGAAGTTTCACCACAAAAATATTTTGTAAGTAAATAATAAGCTCACAAACAGGGTAGTTTTTGTAGGGGCTCATTTGGCAACATTTCAAAGTTCGTACTGCGCAGGTCAATAGAACGTCAAGTTCCATTGATAGTCAAGAAACGAACTAACAACACATCGTGATTATTCAATAATTATTTATCAAGCCTTGCTGCCCTAGAAAATTAATTCTTTATTAATAGAAAATAATTAGGATAATAAACGAGAAATTGTCACCTGTAAGTATATTACACATAATCACATAATTATATGGGGTACGTGTTATTACGAAACACGGATGAATAATTTGGAAATCATTAAATAATCTTTACATTTATTTACCTTTTCAATCTAAACAATTAAACAACTTATATTAAAAAATGTAATATTTGACTTAATACCAGTCAATAATTCAGTTAACATAAGGCTTAAGACACGTATCTTGCACTTAGATCGAATTTAGGCCTTACAGCTAGGCAATAGAGCTGTTGTTTTCAAATTGGTATCAATAGAGTGGTCCATAATTTTTTTATTACGATTTTAATTTTAATGATAATGATAATAAATAAAATAAGTAATTTTATCTACACACATGTGTCTACTACAACATGTCGAAATATTCGAATTAAGAAATTAAAGATATTTTTTAGAAGCGTACTTTATAAACGCATATACATAAAATTAAAACTCATTACAGTACTGTTAGCTGTATCGTAAAATCACTTTTTTTTAATCATTGTAGTACATTTCAATTTTTTAATTTATTAAATAAGACTTAGGCTGAATGTAAAAAAATAATAATTGAAAAAAATAAAAACACGCTTTTATTTATTGCACTAAAAAGCCAAAAATAAACAAAATATACTCTCCGTTTACTTCCTTAGTGCCTTAGAGTAAGCCATGTTTAATAGTTTATTTAAACATTCATATATAACTGAAAAAGCGTGGCATGTCTCAATCCAGCTCCTTAAATATATCATATGCATATTATATTTAGTAAAAGCAACAAAGGACATTGTTCTGTGTCCATACATAGTTAGCCTAAGAACCAACAATCATGAAATATTATTTTCTAGGTTCAAAATCGCGAATAAATGACTGTTAAAACAAAGATTATTGACGGACACTTCTGAGAACTTAAATTATTAGGAAGACTTATTTTTTTTGTGGTTATGTTTAATATTCAATGAAACATAGGTCAACCTATGAACTTAGTATGAATTCAGTATGAAGTGAATTAATATTACAAGTAATACATTTTATTCGGTGCGATTTCAAAGAATAACTATTAGGAAAAACTTGGTTAGGTAGGAATCATGAATAAAATAAAAACTGTAGTTTTGCTTCTTATTTATTGACTATTTTTCACATAATTGTATCATATTGTATTTATTTAGTATATCAGATGTATATTGTGTAAATATGCAGCGTGAATGTGTATCAGGTGCTCTTGAATAATTTGGCAGTATGATCCTCTCAGGATGTTTTTCATGCACAGGTTCACTAGCACTTGGTAATAATGTCTCTGCTCTTTGGTAACATCGACGGCATATAAGTTAGCCGAAATAGTTAAATTTAAGGAAAAACAATCGCAAATAAACACACACAACTGGTAATCCGAAACGAGAATGCACGAATGCCACAGATTACTACGAATGCAAACTGCTTGCACCACAACCACAGAGTATCGAGTTTTATGCTGGCCCTTCACTTGACAACAGTTTGTCCTTGTCATGCTTAATAAGGAATGAAAAGGACAGACTGATGTCATGTTTTCAAATAGCAAATACGAATACCCAAGTGAAGTGCCGACATTAGGAAGCGCTGTCATAGATTATACACATAAAATGGTATTTATTTGTCTCATACTATTTTTTAACTTTTTAATTTAGCTTACTTAACTGGAAGTGTCCATCACCATCTAAATACTGATAATTATCGCAAAAAATATACTATGAATTATCATAAATGCCAAATTGGTGTTGGTTCTTAGGCCAATTTTAACATTGTCCTTTCATTCTTTTCAGAGTGAAAGAGATGGCTGCAGCCGGCACTGGAGCAGTCTTCTTCTTAGGATCAAGAGCCCACTACCAAGTAATTTATCTAGCATCATTGACGTATTTATGTCCCCACTACTGGGGCACAGCCCAGGAATAGAGTGAACGGGCCATCAGTCATGGCATGGTGGGTCGTGGGTCATGGCCCATGACCCACCACGAGGATACTATTGATGGTTGCTAAAACTACTGCTGATGCAGCCCGAACCCGATGGTCCTGGCAGTAAAACATACTCCTCACACACGCACACAAACATACAACCTAACATCGACACACACGTCAAGTATACTATTTAAAGCCCATAATTAGACGATGCTTACCATACAAACCCTTAGAGCTGCCATACATGGACTGCTCGAGCAGTTAGCCAGTGATAGACATACACGAACTGCTTGAGCAGTCAGAGTCAACAGCTTAAATCTGCCATTGTTACTGCACGAGCAGTTCATACCAACTGCGCGAGGAGTCGCAACTCAACGCACAACAACATCAGGTGGGGTAGAATCATTTGACTACCTCGCTAAAAAAAATGCGTGTACGTACACTATGCAGTCGCAGCTTGAAGCAACGGCCCGTGTATGGCGGCTTTTAGGTCCATATTACAGAATGACAACTAAGTGTTGATCTTTACTTGAGGGAGTTAGAAAGGGATGTCGCTATGTGCTATATATAGCGACATCCCTTTCTAACTATGCTCAAGACTAGATCAATCACTAAGAATCTTTCTATAATACGGGCCTTAGAGTATCATTGTCTAGGTGTAATATTTTCTGTAAACAATGGGGGCCTGGTGATAGGCACCAATCTCCCATGAACGACGACATGATATTAAAATTCACCTAACACTTAAGTGTGGAGCTCGATGGCGCATCTAGTTAGCGCGTTCGGCTGCGATCGTTGAAGTTAAGCAACTTTCGTAGTGGTCGGTCATTGGATGGGTGACCAAAACTTCAGAAGCAGACCGTGCTTCGGAAGGAACGTTAAGCCGTTGGTCCCGGCTGCATCTGCAGTCGTTAGCACCCACCAAGCCGCACTGGGCCCGCGTGGTGGGTCATGGCCCAAACTCCCTATTCCATCCATAGGGAAGGCCTATGCCCCAGCAGTGGGGATATTATAAGGCTGATGATGATGATGAACACTTAAGTGAAACCCTTATTTTCATTTGTAATAAAAAATAAACTTTCGATCACCCATCCGATGCCAGGCCGTTCCGAAAGTGGCTCAACTTCCACTAACTTCAAGCGCCATTCCAGCTCCTCGTTATATTAACAAACCCTACAGGTACTACAACAGCCAGAGACCAGGTCTTACGACGTTGAGAACGGTAACACATCCACTGAGACGATATACCAGAACCCGTCGGTGCAAGAGCTGTGGCCTGCGAGCTCAGAGCAGCGAGCTACAGACGGAACAAACTGGAGTTATGACAACGCGGATGTGACACGTGAGTTTATGACACGACTGACGTAAAAGTGGTATTATTGTGGGTTACCTACTTAGATTAAAACAAAAAGGGCACTAGCCTCACAAAAGTGATCCGCATGAATTGTGGTCCACGACCCTAATCGCTTTAGTCACAACTTGTCATGCAAACGACGTACATGTGAACGCCAAAAAGAAATATTGCTAATATTTTGTGTTTATATGATAAAACAATGCCTAAGCGTGTTCTTAAAAAGTGCTGAAATTGCTCAAGAACTAAAAATAAAACCCACGGCATCACTTTTCATTCGTAAGTACTATAAAATATATTTTTTCACAAAAATTGCTGTTTGTTTTGAATCTTATTCGGTAGTGACGTCGAGTACTGGTCGCGTGATTGGTCGGTGGCGCGGATCTCGCCGTCTCGTTCGCGCTGCCGTTGAAACTTAACGTGCTGTTTCGCTCGGGTCGGTAATGCAGTGACGCGGATCTCGCCGTCCCGTTCGCGCTGCCGTGGGCTCAGTTTTTGTTTGATGCAAGTATGAGCGTACCGTATCTATCCTTTTTGTTTTAATCTAAGGTTACGTACAATGCGAAGCAATGCAATGGCTCGCGGCCATTCGGAGACGGGTTCCGCGACCACACCCGCCCTTTCGGCACGCACTAGGGCAGTGTTTCCTAACCTTTCCAATACTGCTACCCCTGTAACCCATTAGGAAAACAGATTTTACCCCGACTTTAAAATGTTATCATCAGTCCAAGAAATTCCAATTTGACCGCTATATCTACGTCTCTAATAATGTCATCATCAGGAGAAAATCTCGCCCCGCTTCCCACACTCAGCACCCCGCGGGTTCGCTAGCAAGAAGGAGCGCATGCTCTATTTGTATTTTCTTTTTTTTTAGATTTGACCAAATAATTAGGTTCTTTGTTACCCCCGAAGTATGGCCGATTTACCCCCGGAGGGATAATTACCCCCAGGTTCGGAACCCAGGCACTAGGGGGACCGCGGTCCTCATAGTGCGTGTTGAGTGACGGTGCAGGAGTATTGTCTGGTTTTTAGTAGCCCTGTTCAGGGCGTAGGTAGGGCCCAGTTCACATCAGCGAGCCCCAGGGCTGGCTGATGGGGACAGGGAGGAGTCCCACATACCTTCTCGCTCCCCCAGTGGTGGAAAGATGCGTAATGCATTTCCCAGACATAAAAAAAAGGCTAGAAAGATTTCGACACGGCCATCAGGGCCGCGGTAGCGTATCAGTGCATTCGACCGGATAGCGAAGGTTCGAGTCCCGTCTGCTGCCCGGTCCGCGTGGTTTTTCTTCTAGTAATATTTCTTAAGTGATATTTATATCTTTAAAGCTAAATAGTTTGGTAGTTACTGAAAAAGTCCATACGGTCCAGGTAGCAGACGGGACTAGATCCCGCTCCCTGCATGCTGACGCGACCGTAATGTCCGGGTCTTGCAGCCTAAGAAATATTTAGTAGAAAAAATTCGACACGCCCGTTAAGGACGCGGTAGCATAATTGCTCAGTGCATCCGCTTGGATAGCGGAGGGGGCGGATTCGAGTCCCGCCTACTGCTTAGACCGCGTGGAATTTTTTCTAGTAAAATTTTCTTTGGATTAAAACATCCAGCAGTTAAATGCTTTAAAAAAGGAAAAAAAATCTTATGGTATTATTATGTTTTTCAGATGTATTAGTTACATTTATAACGAACCTTGTTTCTCAATACTAATAGTTATTGCCTTCAGTAAGAATGTGTTTTGGTGATATTTTTTTTTGTATTTAACTATTGTGTTTTGGAAATGGAATTGAATTAAATGATTGATAGCCAAGGTGAAGGAAATTACATCACCCTTCCCGAACCAATCACTTACTGTCCGTGGTGCGGAGATTTGAAAGTTTGAGCGCATATTTTAAGAGTGATATTTTTAGTATTACAAGCGTCTATATTAAGCTGAGCGCAGATTAGAGTCACGACAGTCTCAAGACAGACTATTGCTTAACAAAAATTATGAAGATGCGCACATTCGAAACAAGACGTCTCATAGACAAAAAAGTCTTATGTACACAAGAACTGCAAAGCGACAAGTCTGACTAACGACTGTCCGCTTCCCTTTGTAATGTATGCGAGGGCGCACACCAACGACAAAATTGTCTAGCGATTACGGATGATAATCGATACTGAAAGAAAGTATAATACATACGATGAAATAAGTAATATGTGGGTCCATAAATTATGACAAATTATCAAAGAAAGATACATTCATTCATTGATACGTTCATTCGAAATTACTGGTAAAACTTTCTGGGCTGGTGCCTTAATTTCTATAAAATAAATAATCGTTGAAATCTATTCTGATACTGATGAAAATGGTGTGTGTCGCATCGTAGACAAAACAGTTTCGTCTTGGTGTGCGCCTTGTGGTAGACACAACTGTTTCTTTTTAATTGTAAAGCTGTCTCGTCTATGTAAGACAAGATTGTCTAACAACTTTCGTGACTCTAATCTGCGCTCAGCCTTAGGATATGGTGGCCGCTTACCGTCAGGCGGGCAATGTGCTTATTTTTCACCATTTTAACATATAAATGCAACAACTTCAATCACAGAAAGAACGCGATATTCACTGCACATCGGCTCGGAGGTTTATACATAAATATTTCTTGCAGTCTCTGACGAAAAAGACAAAGAGGACACGAGTAGTGGTACGACGAAAAGTCGCACAAAACGGCGACAGAGCGAGGCGACACTGTGCGAGCGGGACAACGAGATGAGACCTGCCTTGCTGAACGATATTGGCGGAAGGTGATATTAAATTATAAGCTGACCATTCTCATAAGCCCTGCGCGGGGGCAAGTGGGATTTTTGTTTGGCAAATAAAGCTTTACTAAATTCCCATTTGACCCGAACAGTTGCAAGATCCTTTTTGGGTTCCGTACATCAAAAGGAAAAAAAACGGCCAAGTGCGAGTCGGACTAGCACACCGAGGGTTCCGTACAAACTCAATATAATACCTCTACGCGTTCATAAGAAAAGAGGTAGTAACTTTAAAATTTTCAAAAATATTTTTTTATTATATGATGTAACTAAAAATTTACGGTTTTCGCAATTTTTCCTTTATCTGTACTTTAAGACGTTACTTCGTACCAAATTTCAAGATTCTAAGTTCACGGGAAGTACCCTGTAGGTTTTCATTCCCGTGCGAGTTTAGAAATTTTGCCGCATAAACGGCTGTATCTTTTGATTGCATTGGCTTAGAAGTTTGATTTTTTCACAGCTCCAAGGGACAGTAGACATGAGTATTAGATATGAATTTCAGTTTGATACCTCAATGCGATCCTGTGAAAAGCGGTCTTGACAGACGGACGGACGGACGGACCGAAAACTAAGTGATGATAAGGGTTCTATTTTTTCCTTTTTAGGTACGGAACCCTAAAAAAACGTAACCTTTATAACATGACTTTGTTGGAAAACGTATGGAGGTATCGAATTGGAATTTTAACTTGGTATCTCATAACAAAAGCCTTATAGCCATAGTTAGCCTAGCCTAGTTATACTTAATAGGGTAGCTAAGGACATTGTTCAGAGTCCATACATAGTTAGCCTAAGAACCAACAATCATGAAATATTATTTTCTAGGTTCGAAATCGTAAGTAAATGATTGTAAAAACAAAGATTATTGACGGACACTTCTGAGAACTTAAATTATTAGGAAAACTAAAATGTTTTTGAGGTTATGTTTAATATTCAATGAAACATAGGTCAACCTATAAACTTAGATGTACTCAGTATGAAGTAAATTAATATTACAACAAATTCATTTTATTCGGTGCGATTTTAAAGAATATCTATTAGGAAAAACTTGGTTAGGTAGGAAGCATAAATAAAATAAAAACTGTAGTTATGCTTCTTATTTATTGACTATTTTTCACGTAGTTGTATCTTGTATTTATTTGTATATTACATATATATTGTGTAAATATGCAGCGTGAATCTGTATCGGGTGTTGTGTTCTTGAATAATTAAGCAGTATGATCCTCTCAGTATGTTGTGGCACAGGTTCACTAGCACTTGGTAATAAGGGCTCTTCTCTTTGGTAACATTGATGGCATATTAGATAGCCAAAATAGTTAAATTAAAGGAAAAACAATCGCAAATAAACACTCACAACAGGTAATCCGAAACGAGAACGCACTTTCCGGTATATTAAACTACTCTTTGGAATTGGAATGCACTTTCCAGTATATATAAGTACTCTTTGGAATGCACGAATTCCACAGATTACTACGAATGCAAACTGCCTGCACCACAACCACAGAGTAACGAGTTTTATGCCGGCCCTTCACTTGACAACAGTTTATCCTTGTCATGCTTAATAAGGGTAGTTTTACAATTACAGCATTAGAGCGAATTATGCGGCATAATGCTTATCGTTGAATATTTCAACTACAGCAACGCTTCCTTCGCACAATCGAGCACTCTCAAAAGTACCTAATGTTTTCGTGTGATGCGTGCAATCTACCAACTCATGACAGATAGGTAATTAACAAGTGTTTTTTCTTAAAGTTTTGTTGAAAAATTTTTAAAGCTTTCGTTTCATTGTAGTTCTTTTAGAATAATCAAAGTTAATTCAAACTGTGTTAAAAAAATAAATATAAGTATGGATGAAGGTACAAACATTGACTTAGCGAACTCTGCTGGTGCATTTGAAAACTAATTCACGTTCCAATTAAGCATCAGCATAATTCGGCATTGTGCGCCACTGAGTCGCAGTATGCTCTGTAATTGGAAAACTAAGCCAAGTGAAGTGCCGGCATTAAGAAGAAATAGTGTTTTTTTTGCAGCGCTGTCATAGATTATACACATTAAATGGTATTTATTGTCTCAGATTACTTTTTAACTTTTTAATTTGGCTTACTTAACTGGAAGTGTCCGTCACAATCTAAATACTGATAATTATCGCAAAAAATATACTAAGAATTATCATAAATGCCAAATTGGTGTTGATTCTTAGGCCAATTTTAACATTGTCCTTTCGTTGGAACAACCTCATTGCAGCCAATGTTTCGTCCACAGCTGCATGTCTGGAACCAAGCCGTCCCGTCGTAACATATCACTCCTGAGCTTCTTGTCTTCACTGGCCAGAAGGAAGAGACGCATGGATTCTGGCCAGATACAATACTTGCAACATTTGGAAAGTGCACTCAACGTATGCAGTTACAGGGAATCCTGCAGATGCCTTGAATGTCAGGTGAGTTACGTATTAAGAGCCCTTTTACAAAATTGAGCCGCTGCAGTTTAGGTAAATACGGCCAGGAGTCGATCGACATAGAATGCATCTTCTCGTTTTTTTCATCTTTGACGGCCTCTCCGTAGCGGGAGTGGTATGTACGCCGGGTTTCATGATGTCGCCAACTCGAGAGGTCCCGGGTACGTATCCCAGTGGGGGCAGATGTTTGTGTGATGAATACGAGCACTTGTATCTAAAGCAAATCTCTTAAATCTTGATTTTACTAAAACTGTGGGGACTGTTGGGGCACAAGCCTTCCCTATAGATGGAATAGGGAGATTGGGCCATGACCCACTACGCGGGCCCAGTGTGGATTGGCGGGTGCTAACGACTGCAGATGCAGCTGGGACCAACGGCTTAACGTGCCTTCCGAAACACGAAGGAACTAGAGATATAAGATTTTTTGTCACCCATCCAATGACCGACCACTGCGAAAGTTGCTTAACTTCAGTGATTGCAGCCGAACACGCTAACCACCTGTGCCTTCGAGCTCCCAAACTATGATTGTGAAAGCACAAAGCGACCATTGGTAATTTTTTGGATCATACAGAATCAAACTTTAACGTAGATTCGTAAGAAAATTTTTTGCTTGCTTCCAAAATGTTCACTGGTCGCTTTCCGCTTACAACGCTCTAGTGAGATCAGGTCGGGTCCCTGGTATTGGTATAAAATAAATCAAGTTTTTTAAATTATTATCAATAATATATTGCGCCTTTCAAAAAATATAATTCCGATTTGAAGCAGTGTCACAGTTTACAAATCAACGATACAACTTACGACCACTTTTAATAATCAACACCCAGTTCAAGGTGAGGATAATATAGTTCCGTTTCTTGTCAACAGCTGTTGTTATTATAATCTTAATAATAAAAAAACGAAAGTGCTTACGACCGCACGACTGAAGTGAAACTTCTTTAGCTCCATCTGTACCTATGTAGGTATATAATTATATAGTCACGCGTGCGTAAAGTTTGGCAGTAAGCTGGCGAATGCGTTACGCGTTTCGAAGAGTGTGTTCGGGCGAGGCGAGCGGGAGTTGAGTGGGGGACATAAGCAAGAGACAAAAGCATTGCGGGTGCACATTTTCTTTCTCTCTTTCTCTTATAGCTAGTAAATGAAATATGCATATGTACATACGTATAGATTGTACACACACACACATATATATATATATATATAGATATCTAGCGGCCCGCCCTCGCTTCGCTTTGGTGTAGAGCTGAAGTGTAGACTACCGTTTTGACATTCATCTATGATTCTTCTTATACCTGAAACCATGTAAAGTCTCAGCCCGATCGGTTTAAAATTGACAAATTTTCATTCCCTATTTTATGCCCTTGGGGGTAGAATTGATCAAAATCCTTTCTTAGCGGATGCCTACGTCATAACATCGACCTGCATGCCAAATTTCAGCCTGATCCGTCCAGTGGTTTGGGCTGTGCGTTGATAGATCACTATGTCAGTCAGTCACCTTTGAGTTTTATATATATAGATACAGAGCTAAAGAAGTTTCACTTCAATCGTGTGGTCATAAGCACAGTCACATGGGAGTATCCACGGAGCTCCGTTAGATGATCGCCTAGTTAAAAACAATATAAGGCATTATTTAACCATTGAAAATCACCATTAATGCATTACTACATAAGGTTTTAATTAAAACGCATGCGTCAAAGCTCTGCGGCATCTTGAGTTTTCAACGGTCCGCGCGTGACTGTGAACCAAGAAGTGCCTGAATGGTGTTCAAGCACTTCTTGATTGGACACATTTTGAGCGCACCTGGTGCATATAGGGTATTTAATATCGTTGAACGCATATTAGAATTTAAAAATACGGTAAGTAAGCCTATACTAGTAAAATCATGGCCCATTCTTGGCCCATGGTACATAAAAGCATGGATTATCGCTCTATGGTAAAAGTTGCTAGTATTTTATTTTACTTAACTTTTAAGCAACAACATGCGCATTTAATACAAAACAGTTAACAGACTCAAAATGTATTTTTAAACTTATCTTATTTCCCATTTGACCAGATCCATCAGTCTGTCTGTCTGTTCAATAGAAAGAAATGGGAATTTCCGGGATTTCTGTACCCAATAGAAACTTAAATTCTCCAATTGTCCCTGAGATTAAAGCAAAATTTATATTTATTTGTATTTTTACAAGTTGCAATCCAAAAAATGTGACATCATAACAAATTTAATAGAGTTTACCTTTTAACAGCTTATTTTTTTATATTTGTTTCTTATGTTTTCACGCACATCACTCATTAAATAAAACTAGTTTTTACGGGTTAATGCACGAAACTTCTTTGTAGCGACGACGAAGCCTGTAAAGGCTACGAAACGTCAATAAATAAATAAAGTTTCGTGCATTAACCCGTAAAAACTAGTTTTATTTAGCTTATTTTTTTGATAATTTTCATTTTAAAGAAATCTTTTTTATGATAACTTTATTATATTTTTTTAAACCATCACATTCATTTATTTCGGTAACTAAGCATTTAAGTTTACATGTACTATTTGAATAAAACATTTAGTATTAATGTAAAGAAAAAAAGTATACTTTTATTTATTCTTTATTGCATGCCACAGATAGTACTTGGTCATTTGTTGTATTATTGTAAATAAAAGAATGGATATAAACATAGATGAATGATTCGTCTCGCTTCAATCGAGAGACGTGACACCAATCATTCATCTATGGTTATAAATTATAGGTAATTAAATTAGTGAGATAACTGTCCATATTTAGGTTAATGTGTTTAATATTTTTTTCCAGTTTCAACTAGTCTTATTTTAATGAACAACAATAAATCTCATAATCACAGAGTTGAAAACATTAATTGATATGGTAAATGAATAGGTATATCTAACACTATGTTTTGTGTTTTATTAAGAAGTTTTCATACTTTATATTATACCTAACATATATATATGTTAAGGCAACAAGTTAGCTTTTATTACTCATCCACAAAGGATGGTACCCCTGGTCTGTGTAGGCCTTTACTCTGTTTTTCATATTCGGAAAATCAAAAGTTTTTCTGGTTGATATTCCTCTTATTATTCGAGTTCTACTGTACATCCAGTCTTCATTTATGTCTTAAATCAATCTTGAATAGTTTCTCTACAAACCTATCTACATATGAGATATGTAAATTAAAAACCATTACTAAATATGATAAAAGGCAAAATATGAAAATAATTTTCTCAACTCCTGGCAGAAATCATCCACATACACAGACGAGGGGATATTTAAACCTTTTAGAATTTCTTGATTAACATTATTAAATTAAACATTCAGCTGTTCTCGTAAATATATTATTTTCAAAAGTACATTAATGTAATCAAAAGTTAATTTTAAGCATTAAATTTAGCAGTCAATGTTAAAGCCATTTACATAAAATGTATTGCTACAAACTACATCTCAGCACCTTAGAAACTTTTTCTTATTTATTTAACAAATAAAACTTTATTAATTACAAAATCATGCAGTCAACAAATACATATATAGTTGAAAATGTTAATTAATTACAATAATAATAGAGAATAATATAACACTAAATAAATTTACAAAGTAGTGTTAAAGATCTTCAAAAATGTTTAAACTTTCAACCATGCAGTAAAGAAAATCATGGTTCAAAGTTGTCTTAATTGTGTCCTTCTTCTGAACAGACAAAGTACATGTTTTAACTCACAAACACTTAGAAATGTAGTGGCACCAAGGGATGATAAAGAACAATAATCGTCATTTTTTTTTATCTTCAGAGCTACTAATCACTTAATATAGTAACACTGAGTGTCTATAGCTTATAAAAATGTTTCGATCATGTCCATCATTGGTGCCACTACCTTAAGTAACGTTAAAATAAAAAAAATATATAAACATTAAAACAAGTCAGGTACAAAAATAAAATATTATTCAACAAATTTATCTATGTCATATTCTGGGTGGCAAGCTGCCTCGTTGTCTGGCAATTTGCTCTTTCTTCGTTCGTCTAAACGTACACACTTCAAGCACTTCTGTCCTTTCCTTAACCAGCATCCCCTATGGTACATAGAATTGCATTTATCACAAAGTATTGCTCCACTGTCAAACGGATAAAGAATTTCATTGTTACCACATATTTCACATAAGTAACCCTTTCCAGAGCACAAAGCACAGCCCGTTATGTGCTTGCGACAAATTTCAGTCAACTCAGTTAATTTTGATTCCAGCGAACCATCATTTATTTCTTCCAGGTGGGACATACTGTATTTGTTATTAACATCTCCGAGCTGAACAAATAGAGGAGACAGTAGGTTTGTACCCTCTGGACAAGCGCAAAGGTAACGCCTCATCCATTCCAAATCCCTTCTCATTTTGTGAACCCATTCTAACTCTGCGATGAAATTAAACAGTCTCGGGTTTATACTTTCAATGTCAATGTACGGCCTACACCATGACAAAGTGAGCATTTGGTAAGCTATACGTGACACATACTTTTTATCCCAATCCCAATTATGTACAACTCGAGCAGGGATAGCGCACAGGTCGTTCCAATGGCATGTACTACAGAAATATAGGCCGGTGTAATCACATAATCGTGGTTCGTTCCAAGAATCTTTGAATGTAAGAGCAGTTTGGCACTCAACACATTTATAATCCTGAGCGGCTAGGCCTTTTTCGGGGCATATACTCATCTCGAATTGCCCCCTGTCTGTCATCACGACATGAGCACACATCCTACAGACTTCATCCACACATTTGTAATGACAAACATAGTTGCAGTCACTACATTTGTATGAACTCTGAACTATACTCCAAATAACTCCACTGCAGTGATCACAATACTGTTTACGGTTGTTACTGTTTATTTGTTGCTCGAAGTGGTGACTTTTAATGGATACGCGTGGCTTAAACTGTCCGTCGTTCTCTTTGACATCCTCTAATCTGAGTCGCAGCTCAACTAGGTATCTCACTAACCATTTTCGCTCTTCAGAACACTGAGGCGTATTTAAAACTAGCTCTTTGCACTGTTTCGCGGCCTTCTCGAGTTCTTCCCGGGTCGCTGTGCTGTGTATTTTCAACTTTTTATTCGATATAGACTTTGGTATGTAGTTTGAGTCGTAACTATCATCGGCGGATACACAGCCTGACGTAGAAGACGACGCGGAAGAGGTAGATGCCACGTCGACGCTGCGTGGGCTGCAGCAGATCAAGCTATTGGTGTATTTCGGTGAGTCATTAGCTAACGCTGCAGCCATGATCACCAAACAAAGGATGATCACTTTAATTTGCGTATAATTTTTAACTGCACTGTGTTTGTCAGAGAGCGCGTTGTGTAACGACGCTTCTGTGTAGCGCGCGGACTGTCACTGATTACGTATCATTAGCACGCGTTATTTTCGGTCGTTTTAGGGGATAAATTAGTTTAATTCACTGATAATTCTGTTCTGTTTTCGTCATTTTTGACAAGTACTGCGTCAGTCAGCTGCGAACAACGCGAGCGAATGTTTGTTCGGGTCATTATGTTGGTGGTATTGATTTGTTTGTTTAGAATAGTTCCGTTCCACGCAGTAATAAAAATGGTTGTCTGACTATTTAAATGAATCGTATTGGGTAAATACTTTCGAGCAAAAATTTTGATTTTACGAAGATAAGTTTGAAGGTATTTCGTTAGGTAATAACTGCAAAAATACAGCATTAGCGGTATTTTTGTTTCGCATGCGACTTTCAAAGTGCGGAATGGAACGTTTCCCATTCTTTCTGTCCCAACGCAGGCGTGCCAACTTAACGATTCTTGTGATGACAGCGCATGCATTTGTATTCGCATCAAAGATTATTTTACGTAGAAGGTCAACTTTGAAGGATTTCTAGTACTGCACTTGTTTGTCGATGCAATCATTAAAATATGTATGGGTTATTTGTGATAACTCACTATTTTAAATGAACCACCATAATTTTAAACGTGTTTATGTTTTACGCATTAATTATATGGGAAAATATTAAATCACTCCCATCATGTACTTAATCAGGTACTAAACTCGTCAAGTTAGGTTAGGTATTGAATATATATATAGTTTTTTTTTTAATTTCTATAATTTTTAGAACAATCGACACGTCATGCTGGCATCACACGCTGAAATTTAGTAAAACAAATATATTTGGGTTAAATGGTCTAGTGGCTGTACTTCTTAGATTTAATAGGCGTATATTAAGTAAATTAATATTTCTTTACTTAAATTATTGTTAAAATATTACTACAAAATATACCTTCATAAATTGAAGAGCATATCTGTAACAAATACATTAGGTCAATAGTTATTATAAAAAAGTTACTTTCGTTACAATAGGTTCAAAACGTATTGTATGTTTAATATTTGATCTATTAATACAGACGTTCCACATTACTGAAGATAACATGTATCACGCGTTTAAACGATGAACACTCATGAGTCTTAATTGTATGAGTCACATGTGAATCTGTCTGGCTTTGGGATGTTTATTTGATGCCATATTTGACGTCATTACGTGACCCAAACAAAACTCGTGTGAAATTGATAATCTTGCTCGGTGTATGCACACAAGTAAACAAATTGATATAAGCATGTCGCGTGCGTGGTGATAAACAGCTGGGAGATATTTAAAAACACCGTTATTTTTCTGTGTGTAATAAATATTTCTAACACTTACACCAATTAGCCTAGCCCCAAAGTAAGCACTGTATGACTTGTGAGATGATCACATGAGATACTAGGGTAGGATAGAACACATATACTGATACATATATATATATATATATATATATAGAAATACATATAAACATCGTATCATAGTATCGTACTATATTAGGGGATCAAATACTATATTTCTAAGAAAAATATATAGTAGGCGAAACTACCATATTTTCCTTAAAGTAGACTTTTGCCAGTAAAAGCTTTCTTAAAAATAAAAACTATATTATTAAAGCATATAGCAGCAAAAATATATTCATTTCAAATAATAAAGTAAATATTCAACCACATACTATATTTTTTTCTATTTTTTGCCATCTACTATATTTTTAGAGGTAACCCTATCCATGACTTAGCTACATATTTGCCCCACGGGGATTCAAACCCGGGCCTCTGAGTAGGCAACACCTTGAAACCGTACATACTTACCGGTCACGGAGGTTAACGATAATGGATTTCTTGAGTAAAATCTATTTATTGAAAAATGCTTAGGTAACTGTAGGTACTGATATTATTTAATATGCTTAATTAATAATGCTGTTATGCTAATCTGTTTCTTGAGCATATTCTACACTACATTACTAGTAAAATAACAATAAAAGAAAAGGTTTGACCCAAAAGTAATGAAAGTATCAGGACGAGGTTTTAAATCCCGGGTATTTTAGTAATTGCAGAATCCCGAAACTTCCCGGGACAGTTCCTTATCCAGCATTGAAGACATTAATTTAATGATGATAGTAATTTGTATACATTGTCCTAACTACAGAGTCGTTATTTCGAATGCGACGAGAGCGAGGGCTATAGTTCTGACGACGGCACTGATGAACCGCCCCGATATTTTGCGCAGCCGTCACAACCTGTGCGCGAGTACGACGACGATGATGAGGTTAGTGTATAATCCGTTCTTAAAATTATAAGTGCTAATGTTTAACCCCCAGTTATGGCCAGTTTCAATAATAAACGTCCAGAAAATAATATTAGTTTTTTCATGTTTAAAGGGTGCCAAACAAGCGTATGGCCCGCCTGATGCTAAGCGGCCCCTTTAGCGTATACATAATATCATCAGGAGACGTTCAAGTATTACATAACGCAAAATTTGAAGAGTTTTGACTCCCTCTCCCCCCATGTAATGCACCGTAACGTTTTACAAGACCTTACCCCCCCCCCCCCCCCCCAAATCCTTACGAATCCGCGCGTGAAATTTTTATTGAATTGCATTTTGAATAACAAAAAGTTTCATAAACTTTATAAATAGCTTTTTTTATTTAAATAAAAAAAAATGTTACGTAACACCCTCCCGCCCCTGTAACCAGACCCCCCCCCCTAAATTGCATAACGTAATACTTGAACGCCCTTTCATAAACATTTGCAATACCAAAAATACCACTCCCACCGTTGCCTACCCTACCCCAATATCTTACCCCGTGGAGACCGAACCTTACTCACGGACAGAAACACAACACCACCTAAAGGTGGTGTTATTTAACTGCGCTCTTCTGTAAGGTAGAGGTAACTTCCCCTAGACGGGTTATGCCCTACCTCTCTTACTTGCTATTATATAAGCATTATTTAAACAAGGTACGACTAAACCACACAGGTATTCGTCGACACAGTACCAGGAGACAACACATCCACAGACATGCTGCTAGAATCCAAGGAACCCGTTAAGATGTCCGTCTCATCCGACGAGGTAGAGTTGGAAGAGGACGGTGATATGCAACTTGAAGTGGCAGCCGGCACACCAGTATTACTGAACTATTTACTGACTCATCCCATCACTTGTGCTATACAATAACGCTGCTTAAATTCTTTATAAGACAATCGATTTAAAACTGTAAACCTCTTAGGCTCACCTGCACAAAAAATATTGATTCAAATCAAGAGCTGTATTAGGCAGAAAGTTAAATCAGCTATTTTTGAGGCGTAAATGAGTTTACCTGAGGCCAAAGCACGAACTTTGACAGCAAGTAATCGTTTCGCAAGGTCAAAGTTTCTATGATAACTTACCGGACGTAAAAACAAACTGACTTCTTCCATACAGCCGATACAATACGATTAAGGGTCTGTCAAAGTTTGTGGTTCTTGGGCTTCTGTTCCGCACATCTCTGTCAATTGTTTAAAGTCAAATAGAGTTGAAATGAGGCTTAAATTAAGATTTAAGATTTTAGTGCAAGTGGGCCCTACTTATTAATTAGTGTTGACTTATCAGTTGGATGTTCTTGTTATTTTTTAAGCATGCAACTGCAAAATTTTTCTTTAGATTCTTTTTGTTAAATTTTCTTTAGATGGACAGTTGGAATTGGAATACGACGAGATTCATTCTTTCGACGACTTACGAGATGGTTGAAAATGGGGCAAAATATCTGAAATTTTATTTACTACTTCTATTTGATTCCAAGTAGTAACCTAAGTTGCAGCCAAGCTAGGTTAAAAGAAAAGATAATTTTGCCGATACTAGCATGATTCTCTAAACTTAAAACTAAATTTAACAACAGTCTCTCCTTTACGTTTTATATAGAGAATGATAAGGATGCAATATTGTCAAATTTTAGTTTAGGTTTAAAATCTTTCCAGAATCGACACCAATATGTCCATTACTTTTGGACACATTATTTTTTCTTTTGACAATCAACCACAATATTACAAAGATAAAGCGCGCCAGGCAGTGGAGAAGCTCGTGACTTCAATTTTATGTAAAAATGGTATCCAGATGCGATGTCATGCGACATTTCAAGTCAATAATCTTTGTAATGTTTTGATTATGTGAAATAAGAAAAAATACCTACATGTCCAATACTTTTTAACAATCTACCTGATAGGAGACAAAAAAAAATAGTTATCACCCCTATTTTAAGCAAATAAATTCTCTGATGAGAATAGCTTAAACTGTTCTATAAAACAACGCTTCTTAACATTGAACACTTTATGATACTTTCGTTAATTTAAGTAGGTAGGTAATAAACCAAGTAAGATACTGCAAGTTCCTTGAAGCAATATTGTAGATAACATTAAAAAGCCATTTGAAAAAGATGTTCATTGATTTCAATTTCATTGTTGAAAGTGGATGGTATTATACCATTAAATTTTGGCAGGCGGTATTCCCGTCCTAAAGTAGGTAAGACTCGTACTTAAATACCTACTGATTTATACACTGATTGATAGGTAGTACATAATCTTTGACATTCAATTTTGAATCTTTTAAAAAATATGACATGTAAAATAGCTTATTAAAATATTAGGTATTATATTGCAAGTAGAAAGAAAAATACAACGAATATTTTATAAATTATAGTGAATAAGTTGCTAAAATTTAGGTATCATAATTATGAATTTCATTTTACGTAAATATATAAATTGCGCCAAAACAATACAAGTTCAGCTTTTTTTTATAACGCCATCTGTCGTCTATTGGCATAGTTTTTGCTAACAGCAGTTCCTAAATAAGCACAGTCCAAACACGACGGTAGGTATAAGTTTACTGCATCGCCAATCGTCTGAGCTAAAATCATTGAAGTTAAGCTAAATATTATATTATGATAATTTAATGACAGTATTATAGTGAGTGGTATTAAACATATTGTTCCTTGTACTGATAGAAAGGCTTTTCAGTTTTGATAGATATACATCTAGCTAGGTTAAATAAGGACAACATGTTTCTATAGTAAATGTCTTAGATTAAAACAAAAAGGGAAGATACGGCACTCGCGGCTCAAAAGTGTTCCGCTTAAATTGTGGTGCATGACCACAATTCGCTTTAGTCACATTTAGACATTCAAACTCGCTGCATGTGCATACAATATAACAATATTGCGTATATTCTATGATATAAAGATAAAACAATGCCTTCGATGCTATTATAAAGAACACAAATAGTTCAATAGTAAAAATCAATTAACAGATGCCTCGGCAACACTTTTCATTGGTAAAACTGTAAAAGCATTATTTTCTCATAAATCACGGTTGGTCGTGAATGTTATTTACGTAATCGCCATTTTGTTATCAAGAAAAGGTCAACAATACAGCGGACTCGGAGGCAGACTCGCTGTTTCGCTCGCGCTGCGTTGAAGCGTACAGTTCTGTCTCGCTCGCTCGATTGAATATTTAATACAGACGTTTGCGTGTGTGAGAGTTGCTTATGTAGTTGAGTCGGAGCATATTTAATTTGATGCTAGTATGAGCGTACCGTATCTTCCTTTTTGGTTTGATCTTATGTTAATATTGAATAGATACATAGACACGAAATGAAATTTTTTGACATCGCTGTTAATTAACAGCAGTTGAACATCAACAGTTGGAAAGAAGTTTTTGAATTTAGTTAATCTAAGTTAGTTGAAGCTAGAAAAAATGGTTTTAATGCGCCGCCTCTGAGAACAAGATATCTCCATTAATAGCTTACGAAAAGTGTTCATATTATTATTATAAATGTCAAAATCTTAGAATAAGGTGCTTCATTTCACCAGAATGATGTTATTGCCATGATGTTAATACCTATCCGTCTTTTTTATACTTAAAGCCTGCGCAGGCGAGTGACTTTTCTTTACGGATTTTTTTGTCCGATAAAATAGATTGCTTACAACCACAGGACACAGAAAGAGATTAGAAGGGCCTTGTGGGCAGTGGCGGGGGAAGACCTAAATTTGATGTGGGCAAGACAGATTTCGCGAGGCCCTGTTCTGTGGCGACCCGAAGCCGGATTTTATAAAATAAAAAAAAAAAAAGAAATTCGCTTTTAAGCAATGCATAAAAAATTTTGAGGCCGCCTTACGCCGCCTCTGCTTGTGGGCGGGGCAGGCGCGCCACAGTTATGTGTGATAACTTGTTAGATGTCGCGTCATTTGATTGGCTATTATCTATTAGGTAGAAGTGTAGTGAGGGCGAGCCGGCGTCATCGGTTCCTGTACAAACAGTTTATGATTGCCCTTCTTACGTCTTTCTGTGTTTACAACTGCATCGAGCAACGCCTACGAGGTATTAAAAATACCACGAACAAAAAGTTCCCCAAACAACCGAGGACCCCGAAGAAAATGGACTTTATGTGACTCAGAGCAGCAACCATCCATGTCAGCAACACGCAGCAAACGTTTTGCAAACGCGATTTGATTTAAAAAGATGGATCCAGTTTATTATAGCCATATTTTTTCTTAGAGCTTAAACATTGGTATATTGGCAAATGCATTGGTATATGCTCTAAGTATTTTTTATATCCTTTACACTTGTAACGGAAAGTGACTTCATGAGTTATCCCATATTACAGTCTTTTATCAATTTGACGACTCTGTATATGAAACAGGGAGAAAAAAAACCGGCAAAAAGCCGGCAGAAGTGAAAACTTGAATATTAACGTTGTGCATTTTTGATATTTTGGAATGGTTTGGGAATAATTTTGCAAGAATTGCTATAATTATCAGCATAAAAGTACTATCATTTATGTGGTAGAATATTATATTTATTAATTGCGCTATCGTACACAAACATTGCCAATTTATATTACATTAAAAAAGTTTCATCTACCAGAAAAATCAACTTACATGAATCACGTTTAAGCGCACTTAGCGACATCTATTGTAAAAAAAACAACTTACATGAATCACATTTAAGCGCACCTAGCGACATCTATTGTAAAAAAATGGATTTTCTTCGCAATAAAGCTGCCACCTGTACGTCCTAGATAGAGACTTATTATTTTAATACGATAAAATAAAATATTACTATGTTTCGTCCAATATATTGAAAGTCAACAACCTTTCAAATTCTATTGTTTTCGTCAGATCCTGTCTCGAAAGGCGCTGGCGTAGTACTATGTACTCTATGGCAGTAGCTTTTTTCACGGTTCAGTGATTTTTGTCGTCCCCGGACAAAAGTCTTTCGTCTGCGCATGCCACTGCATTTTGTCCAAAGGGTTTGTGAAGGATGGATTTGAGAAACGAATAGGTGTTTAAGCCAATTTATTCCTATCTCAGTCGGTAGATGTCGCTTATCTTAATAAAAGTTTGTAAGTCACCCTCAAATTATTTGTGTATAAGAGAAATCGTTATAATTATAAGTTTTAATATGTCGATGGTCCCGAGCGGCTATATCTTATCTCGCTCAGAATTTGGAGTAGAATCGTAATTGAACGTGTCCTATATGGACTAGCGTAACTCTCGCGCCCGGCGCGAAGTATCGTATTTCAGCAGGCCGTGTTTATTTTAACGCATCTCCGTGCGCGCGTCAGATCCATTGTATCTCTCGCAGCTTTAGGACGGAGTATCGTAACTCACCGACTGGAAAACGCTCCGTCGTATCTCAGATATGCGAAAACGTTTTATCGTATCGACCAAGTGCATGTTCTCAGTAATCGCGATTTGAAAGTTTCACGTTCTGAAAAATAAAATTTCGCACGAAATCGATTTTATTATATTTATTCAACTAAAGAAATTATACATTTAGTACTCCCAGAAATTGTTGACATGTAACGAAAAAATGCGTTTCTCAGAGGGGACTATTTTTGGCACAATAAAGCGATTTCAAACCGATCAATTTTGCTGTGTCGATCGACACTTTTAGAATTCCGAGGAATTTTTTACGCGTAATGCATTATAAAATGCATGTTTCTCAGAGGGAATAAGATTTCTGGCGCAAAGCGCTTTCAAATCGGCCAATTTCGCTTTGTCGATCGGTAGCAAACCGCGGTACGCTTTTTTAAGAGTGTACGAACTCAAATTGATGGAACGTCCTCCTGTACCCGATGTTACATCTAATCGTTTCGATTCTTCGCTGAAATGATGCTTGAACTCAACGACAGGATCAAGATTTGAATTTACGTACAATTCCCGGATTTTGGACAATCCTACTTTATTTCCATCCATATCTTTTTCCCATTGCAAATGTTTCGCGAATTCTTTAAAATTATAAATGTTTTCTTGAATAACTTCAGTTACATCGTACTGTTTTGAACCCGCTTTCTTTGCTGTTTTCACAATGGAAATCCAATCTTCAGGGCTATGGATGGTCACATTTTTACTCCTTTTTTCGATCAAGGCGTGCATTGAGTCCCCTTCGTTTTGAGTGTGTCCAGTCTCCAGGAATCTGTATGTGATTTCGATGTTGTGACGCACGGCTGCAAGATACATCATGGAAAAAACAAATTGGTTCTTGTTTTGACCAGCGCAGTTGTCTGAGTAGAAGAAAAATTTCTTCACTCCTGTCTCAACTTTTTTCTCAATGAAATCGAGAAGAAAACTGGCGATTTCATTACTGCCTTTGGAACCAATCGTTTCATTCCACATGTAGCAGAAACCGTCGTGTCTTGTGCAATCGTACACAGTAAAATTGTACACTGAAAGATGTCGCTTGTAATAAAATGCAGAAGATTCTGCACGCGGAGATGGCAAAACTTTTTGCATGTCAAAGCATGCAACACACGATGAAGAGTCTTTGTTGCAAGTCTTTTTATTTTCGTTCTTCATTTTTTGGGCGAGATTTTTTAACCCTATGTGCG